CCCTTGTTATATAGTGTTAGTCCCAGATTGAAGCAGAAGTACATGGCAAGCCAGAAAGTAGGCGAGTCGTGGAAAGTGAGTGTGCGAATCAGCTTAGGCTCGCAGTTGGTAGACGCAAAAGGAGGGAGCCATAGTTCTGTGGGTGAGGGCGATATGGAACCGCTCCGGTTGGTTGCGATGGGATAAGGCTCGTGGTGAAATGCCCGCTGATATAGCAATGCGCCCCCCGATAAGCGTAAAGCTCTGCTGCGTTTTGTGGTCGTGGGCAAAGCGATGGGGTGTTCATTCTCTTTCTTGTATAAGTCCGTTTGCAGACTTATGCGATGAGCGCTGGGAAGAGTGGGAAATGGCGTGGACCCGATCTTGAGTGGTTGCATCGCTGCGTTGGCGCTATTGGAAGATAGAGCACGATCATTTATGTGGGAGCATGTGAGCGGGTCCGGTGGGAGCAAAGGCCGTATTCTTGGAAGATGCCGTGAAGCGCTAGAAGACATGATAGTTCAAGAATGTGCGGTAATTTGAGCAAGTCGTCGGCGTCGTGGCCCGATTTGGTCGCTAAGCGTGTTGCGTTGTCAGGGACTTGAAATTCGAGTTCAGAGCAACGGGAGTGGGGCGCGAGTGGGGTAAATTACAGAAAGAGCACGCGCGATCGACCGGGAGTTTCCGCGGCATCTGATCCAGCTTCAAGCCTAATAAAGGTACACAAGCAATATTGTCTTGTCTCAGGCATCCATCAGCCTGCTTTAGCGCGCCGGGCATCGTGCAGGAGGCAAATGTCTACGCGTCATCCGAGCCCTAGCTCTGTTCTCATACCGACGAATATCCGCAAGCGGGAAATTTCTGATGACGAGGACGGCCCAGACCAAAAGAAAATCAAGCTCAAATCCGAAAACACGCCCCAGCCCAAGGACAAAAAGAAGAGGAAGAAGAAGAAGAAGAAGACGCCAGTTGTTGGGCGCGGTGTGGGCGCGCTAACTGTTTCCGTCAGCGCGAGTGCCAACGAATCCGCTTCTGCCGTAAGCATCGTCCTATGGCCCCATTTGCCTCTCCATACCTCAACAGAGCCCTACTCGCGAGAAGAGGAGGACAGCAACGGCACCTCCGGGCCCACTCGTCAGTCCTCCAGAGACGGCCTTGGACCCCGAACCAGAAGCGGCACCGGACCCTTTCATTGAGACTGTAGCTAGTCCTCGCATCTTGGCTGCCACACTTGCCTCGGCAAAGCAGGATCTACATGCGCAATCCACAGTGCGTCGTAGCATCCTCGTTTCTGCTGGTCCGTCTGCTCATTTCTCCGCAGGCTTTGAAGAATCACGAAGATACACTGGGACAGCTGAACCAGTCCCTGACTTGCCAGATCTGCCTCGACCTTCTCCACAAGCCGTACGCACTAGCCCCATGCGGTCATGTTTCGTGCTACAACTGTCTGGTGGGATGGTTCACGAGCGAGCCCGACGATCACCACGACCGCTTTCTCGGTCCCCGGAAGAAGACATGCCCCATCTGTCGTGCCACAATCAAAGAGCGTCCTGTCGAGGTGTGGATAATCAAGAACATGGTTTCCACCCTCGTCAAATCGGGGCTTATCCCCGGCTTATCAGAGGTCCCGCCTCCCCCGCCGGCGCTCCCTGATGGCCCTGTTGCCGCGAACGAGCCGCCCGACTTGTGGCACAACATCTTTCGGCATGCACACCAGCATCCCATGTTCCATCCCCTAATGCCCAACGGCGAGCCACCCTCTGTGGAAGACATGGGCATGCTGGACATGGAGGATGGCGGGGTCTACCGATGCTTGGACTGCATGCACGAGATCTGGGACGGTGTTTGTACGTCCTGTCATCGTGTTTATCCTGGCCATCAACTCCCAGAGGACGACGATGACGACGACGAGGGCTTGTTCGATGGCAGTGATGGTGAAGATCCATGGCCCTTCCACATGATGCCTATCCACCCGGGCATCGACTACGACGGACCCATACAACTGCACCATCTCTGGGCCGACGGAGACGACGAGGACGACTTTGACAGCGATAGTGAGGCTGATTTGCACGCGTTCATCGATGATGAAGATGAGGACGAGGACGAATCGGACTCTAGCTCCGACCGCCCCGGAGGACCTCAGCGAGCGGCTGCGATCGTTGATATCTCCGATTCTGAATCGGACCTCGGGTATCAAGTACGGCACCCCCGACGCTTCATCAATTACATCCAGGATTCCGACGACGACGTCAGGCTACGGCCTTGGGAGCTTGACGCGTCATCCGGGGATGAGTCTAATCCTCCAGTGCAGTCATCTCGCAGCCGCTTTGTCGAATTGAACTCGGATGATGAAGAGGACAGCGGGGAAGAAAGTGACGGTAGTGCACTCCAATTGGTGTAAGGAATTGCTTTGCTCCATGCGCTGTCACCTTCTAATCCCCTTCTTTGCAGGATTTCGACACGAGGGAGACAGTCAGTTCCATCATCGCGTGAAACCATTCATCAGCTTATTCGTCTACAGTAATATGGTTGTCGTTGAAGACTCTGACGACTCTGACTCGGCATCGACCATTGCGCCAACGCGGTGAGTAGAATCGACATTGCGGCCTGACCAGAATACTAAAGATCTTCGCAGACGACGACGACCGGTGAACATCGAGAGCGACTCGGAAGAGTGAGTCTTTGGCAGATTGTGTCATTTCATGAACTGAACGCTTCGTAGATACACGTCAGCAGAGGATTCTCGCGTACATATCCACCTCGAGATTGAAGGCACAGACGATGATCGTGAAGACGATTATTACAGTGACGAGTCGTACTAGTCGAAGGAGTGGCCCCAATCGTTGTAAATATATCAGCCGCATATTGTACATCTCATTCAGTATTCTAGATTCCTCTCCTCTTCTCGATGCACGTGCCTGCTGGCAAGAAAACGTGTTTGCAAGTGACGAGAGCAGATACATAAGAGTTGAGTTATTTACTACATATGAGCAGTTCCGTGTTCATGGAACATCGTGATTAATATGATACAACACCGGTCGCAACCGCGATGTTCCAGCCAATCATGACCAGGACGGAGAGAAATACGAAGCCGCACCAGTAGCAAAATGCACGTCGGCATCGTTCAATCCAAGGATCAATAATGCGTAACGGCGACTCCCTGGCACGTTTCACTTCCTCGAAGCGGGAAAAGGTAGCATAGTCGATCCACGCATTCAGTCGACGAACAACGACAACGAAGACGGATGGAGGGCGAGGAGCCCGCCCGCTCTCATCTAGGCGCGGAGCTGGCCTCGAGACAAAGGGGTAGTAATACGAGATGCCGGTCAGCGATGCCGAGGTGTTATTCGCCGCGACCCACCGCGGCAGCAACAGCGGTTTCTCCGGCTTCCGCTGCAACCTGTTCCTCCTGCACAAGTTCGCGCGCCAGACGCCGCACGTGAGGTCGCCCCACCACCGCGTTTCGGTGACGTAGTGCTCCCAGAGCGTGCGCTGCGGCGGGACCTCCGTGAAAAACAGGACGTAGTAGCCCCCGATCCACCAGCAGGGCGGGCAGAGGAACCCAAGACAGAAGAGAAACGCGGCAGGCGTGACGTGGTCGAACCAGTGCCGCGGTTTCCGGCGCAGACTGCTGTTGCCCGTGTTGGAGCCCATCGTCCCGCCGCGCTGCAGCTGCGCCTCCCCCATCGGCGAGCCCACTCGCGACGCCCGTAGAGTGCTGCTCGTGGCGACCGAGTATCGCACGACGGCCCGCTCGGGGGACTTGGGTGACGCAACCTCGCGTGAGGCAGCCGTCACGAAGCTCTCCGCGTGCAGCGATCCCGTGCTGCTGTTGGCGGCCGCGCTGTAGATCGTCTGGACCACCCTCGGAGGACGTCGAGGGGGCCCATCTCCCTCCTGGAAAGGATGGGGACCCGGAAAGTACGGAGCGAAATTCAGCGGAGGGAGTGCAGGCGGATCGCTGATCGAGCGGTGAATGAATGCCGCCCGGGCCACCGGTGTGGGTCCTAACGAGGGTCAGATGGTCAGAGTGGGAGAGTAGCGGAACTCGAACGGACGAGGCAAATCCAGGGGTGAGATATCTCCCACGGGGCTGGTAGCCCGCAGGGATATCGGGGAAGCGTAGCTGTGCTCTTGAATCGGAGAGAGTGGCCGACGAGCGGTATCGATATGGAGTGGAGAGTGCGAATATGACCGCGCGGCTGGTGGGGCCGAGAAATGAGCTGTGATGCGTTCCCCAGCACTGCTACCGATCACAGGCGAAGCCGCCATCGGCGGGCTCGAAGGCGTTGGAAGAGAATACGAACGGATGAGGGGATACGTAGACGGTCGGACTTCAGCTGTTCTTGTCGCGGGGCCCGTCACATTCCCGGACCGATTGTGAAGGGAGCTGCTGGTCAGAGACCGCCTTGTGTACTCCACTGGAGCCAGGCACTCGAAGCGGCGTGGGATCGAGAGCAACACGGGGACACCGATGCTGGCTTTCTCTACTTTGCGGCGCCGCCGTTCGATCGTCGGCAGCGGGAGCGCAGTGAGCAGGTCGGGGGAGTCATCTGAACGGCGAGATCGCCACAGGGAGGAGAACAGAGGCATAGTGGGAAATTGGGAACGAGCAGTCCAGGCGGATGTTATATAGCAAGGACTTGGTTGCCCACTCCGTGGACGCAGTCACAGCACGCCCGTGTCGTACACATTTGATACGGCCATGATGCGACGACTAGAAAGCTCCAATGAATCGTACGTTCCGTCTGTGTTCAGCAGGAATTCGACCGTTTACTCGCAAAAGATCGAGAACACCCTCCTTGGACAACGCCCCGAGCCCGACCTATTTCATCGGCCCATTCCATCCCCATGAACTAGGCATTGCCAATAGCCGGTCAAGATTCGGACTGTTTCAGGTGTATAGACTTCTTGGAAGCATGCTGGAAAAACGAGGCAGCTTCAAGGCTGTGAGGAGACGAGGGATCATTGATCTGGAGACTGATCTTGACAGGTTGTCTGAGACTGTTCTTTCAATCGCTCAAGTACAATGATAAAATACATACATTAATATCCATCCATCCATCCATACGACTATGATACATACCTATGATAAGACTACCTACGATGGGAGAGACACATAATCTATACATCAGATCTCTCAGGTTCCACAGAATCCTTGCGCACAAGGAGAGACAGCCATGGCCGCCGACGCTTGTTGGGCGCCTCCAGCTCCACAGTGTGGCTCTGAATACTTGGAGGAGACTCGGCTAAAACTACTGTAGAGGGTGGAAGCGAGCCTAGCTCTACAGCAGATTCCTCGTCAGCCTGGGACCACGAAGGCCATATAATCGTCGGGATGGAAATCTTCGGGATGGAGAGCGTGAGGATAGAGCCCCGGCGAGAATCGGCAAGATGTAAGATCCCGAAGCTGACGACGAGCAGCGCGAACGCAGCGACGAATGCGCGAGTGAGGCTATTCGTGTTCCGGAAACACATGGAGAGGAACGCAGCCAGAAATGCGAGCATTCTATGAAGTGTTTATCAGTTGAATACGGAGACTTACACGCGACTTACGACCAGATGAGCAAAGCATAAGGCAGAGAGTAGACGACGGCCAGAGTCTCCATGCCGAGTCTGCGGCGGTTGTACTTGAAAAAGAAACTCTCCTGGTGGCCATTGAGCGTCGGAAGCAGACCAAATGGTCAAGGCGACTGACAGATTTAATGCTCCCGACACCGCTGCGATTGCGATTCTGTTTCACCAACAGCAGTCCGAAGATGATTGCACCGACGCTGGTGAATATGGAGCAGTAGCTGGCTAATTGGGTCGGTGTTCTGCTGCTGACAGCGGATCCCCCATTGTCCACACTCTGGATGGCGAGGAATGCGACATTTGCATTCAGGATCACCGTGGCCTGGATGTGGTGTAAGTACCGGGAGCATCGAAAAGTGTGGTTGGCCCACATTCAGCGTAAAGTCCTGCCAGTCCTTCAACAATCGCGAGATAAACTGGGTCCAGCCATGCTCTCTGATCACCCCGTCGGTATATAGGACCTCCAGACCGTCGAGATGGAAATGCGGGGCGAAGAACAGCAGCGGAGAGAAGATTGAGATGAACCAGGACCGCTTTCTTTGCTGGTCATACACAGCTTGATCCGAGCACAGTCGAGCCGCAGGTTCTCCGTGAAAGTTGAACACGCGATGACGCACTGCGGGCGAGCGTCAGAAGATGCGCCGAGATTCCAGTCTTGGCACTGACCAGACATGTGCATGAGCCGAGCTGAGCGGGTTCAGGGAAGGATGAGTCGAATTACTGGAGCGGGATCCTGTCACGGACCGATTGTAGCGTTGATGCCAGATGTTTGAGTGATCGCAGTAGTCCCAGGTCTTATATTTTCTGCAACAGAGAATCAGAGAGCTTACCAGGACCAGGTATGAAGATTCACGAGTCATGCTATCGACCATGCTCTGGAAATGGGATATCTCATCGATTGACCAGCTCACGGTAGAATTGGACGAGGTGAGAAGATCTTCTGGCAGTGAGGTGACGAGGCAGAGCGGAACGATCGAGACGCCTACCACCACGAGAATAGACTAGAGTATCCCTCAGCTCGTCAACGATCTCAGTTGTCGTCTTCATTGCATGTGGATACAGTTCGCAATGACGCCTGCATTGAGTCAGCATCAGGTCTCGCGATCGGCCACCTCCGTTTTACCAGTATTGCGCCTCCAGTTCCAGTCCTGTGAAACACCTGGTGAATAGACGTTCATTTCAGTTTGAGACCACGCACGGAGGATCGAGGAAGACGACATTCCGTCCACCTTCGCTCCAATGTCAAATATTTCGGTGCTGTCCACCTCCTCCAGCCAAAACACAGAACGTTCCTCGTGGTTGACCACGTAATACTGGCAGCCCTCGGAATCACCTTTGAAGACGTAGTCGTCCAGCACAAGGTCCATGCCGTCAATCAGTTCGACGTCAAGAATTCTCATCGCGTCAACGATCGTGTCGAGATATCGTTGGATATCCTCGAGCTTGGATTGCTCGAAGACATTCAGGTCAGTGTAGACACGCTGGTGTCTGTTTAGGACGCAAGATGCAGATGAAGATCGAGTTGCTGCTGACCTTTTCCGCGTGATGGAAGTACTGGGCGCCTTCGGGATGCACATATCTTGTCCAGCCTTCCGGGAGTGCATCACTTGGAAAAAAATTCAAAGATTGGAAGTTACTGAAGAGGGAGAGCACCAACACAGGAGGGGACATCGTGAGCGGGGGAATGATGAACTGGGATTCTGTGCGTGGGCTGCGGAAAATCGGTGAGATCCAAGAGAGCATCAATCTAAAGACTCACATTTTGAGCCCACGCTCATAACGCTTCACGGATTCTGGTGTCATCGGGACGATCCGATGCTGGAAGAGATCTAGAGGATCAGGCTCATCGATCTCCGACCGATCGTCACTCTGGGTAGCATGTAAATGATCGTCAACATCGGTCGCGCTGCCGTTTGTAGAACATGGGAAGCCGCCCGTAGCATCCAAATACAAGAACGGCGCTTGGTTGCTGGGAATCTGTGGACATGACAGACGTTTCATCTCGCAGGACCTCTGCATTGTGTCTCTCGGAACATCCACTGAGGAATGGGATGTCGCATGAGATGGACGACTGTAGACAGTGGATACCGAGCTTGGACTTGGGGACGGAGCAGGGCTACTTGGGTATGCAGTATGATCCAGTGGGGATGAAGTGTGCAGGGGCTGCTCGATGATGATCGTCGGCGGCAGGTCCTCGAAGCGATGGGAAGCGATCTCTGCCGATGCTCTATACGGGCTCAGAGGCACGTATGGGGAAATTCCGCTGGCATTGCAGACAATGTCTGCGGTGTTCGTGACCGAGTGGGGCAGGGATGTAGCGCATGGTCGTGGCGCCTCGTTGTCGGAGTCTGGTCTGTTTCCCGCATTTCTGCGTGAGAAAGGACGCGAGAGGGAAGAGAACACAGATAGAAGACCTCGCAGGCGTTTGAACCGCCTGAGGACAGTCAATAGCCTTGTCAGGGCTTCCATCGTAGTCCCGGAGAGAGTCATAGACATGCCAGAGCTGGGCCTTCACCGCAAGCTTGTGGTCCACAGCTTTACCCATGTTAGCAGAGTGCGAACGCTGTACAGCTGAGATTGGGCGCCAATCATGGAATTGCTCCAATTGGTCCAAGTTGGTGAGGCTTGCCTACACAGCATGTCACTCCCACAGCAAGTGCGTTGAACGCTCTTAAGCTGTAGGGCTGCTGACCGTGATTTCCATAGGATTGAGACTTCGAGGGAGTACAGTCCACAATCCGCATGATGAACAATCGCAGAGAGAAAGATGGTATCGACGGGTCGGGCTAGCTGCCTGGCTCTAAGGATACCCACTCGTGTTGGTCATGAGTAAAATAGGCTATTATCTTCATGACCGACACGTGGAGCCGTCGACCGGGCCGATCTGCCGCAATGTCTACAGCACTTATAAGTTGGCATGCACGTACTGGTACTGCTGTGAAGATCACTCGGTCTGCCACTCACTGTCATCCACACTTGTCTATTTCTTAAGTATGGAATCCTATGCAGCTATCCAATGCTTAATGGTGATTCCTTACCATGGCCTTCCTCCACATGTCCCGGCTGTCCGGTCTTACCAGCTGCGTCCTTTTACTTTACATCAGAACTCGTTCCTCAACAGGCCCGACGCGCCTTATGTCCTACCGGCCTACTCCCACTGCTCTTCTGTGCTTCTGTTTCATTATAGAAAGGCAACTGAGTCACTCCACTACGAACGAGAAGGGCCTAGTGCCAGTCGTACAAGTACATACAAAGTGCAATTTTGCTCTCTATGGTCGCATCTACAGCCATGCCGCACAATGACATCGCAGCGATTCCTCGATACATCCTCCCGAATCCTACTCATGCGCAACCCGAGTTAGCCTTCAAGCTGTGTTTCAAATAGTGGATTGCACTGAGCTTGCCGTCATCGAGTTTGCCAGGCTTTCCGACGGTACTACTCAGCTCGCAGTAGACGCTAGGGAAGGCATGGGGAGGCACGGGTAGTAGATTCGCCTGAGAACACCTTTGTGGATCTCCATCGTTACGATACTATTAGCGAAGCACTGGTCAATTTTAGAGCTCATGTCCAGGGATCACTGTCTGTACTTACTACGCGAGGGTCTGGTCAGGTTCATCAAATAGTAGGTTGAGTGGTGTTGCACGATCCTCCCGAAGCTCATGACAAAATGTACTCAGCTATCCTCGGACGGCGGAATACGAAGCTAAGACGAACAATGATTGGCTGAAGGGTCATACTGACATCTGAAGTACGAGTATCGGCGTGCTTTTCAGTCAGCCAGTTTCGGGGCTGCAGATTCTCGGAAAGGATGGTAAATGGCGATAGGTCAAACATATCGAGAACGGGCTGGTGCGTCTCGGTCTGCCTCTCTAAACTCCTTCAAACGGATGCTACCTTTCAAGATCATCAACGCCGGGGACGCCCTCGAGGCCCTGTCCGGCGGATATTACAAGCCCACGATCCACCGGTACGAGGCCACTTCTGGACGGTCACTGCGCTGAACGCTCGGCAGTGTCGTACGACCCCCAGCCGATCAGCGCCAGTACCCACGGCTCGGATTGTTTTATTTCGCAACAGCTGATGACGACGCGAAATTGGTCTCGCGTGTGGCTCAGAGCCCGATTTTTCGACTCGGACGCACTGCATCGACTCCATCGGATGATGAGCTTACCACCCCTACTATGGAAACATGGCGCAAAACGCGAGTGTCCTCCTATGGCTCCGAGGGCGCGGTACTGGCCCCAGCGTCGGGCGGTATGATCGAGGAAGAGACGGTCGCTGGAGTCGTAATCAAGCACTATAACTGAGTGCGACCCATGGGGTCAGGTCAAAGTGCAGATACCTGTGATATGTAATTCGTTTCGTCCATGCTGTCGAGATATACCAATGCTTTGAGAGTGCAGCACGTTTCATATCGGCTCTTGCACGAACCCAGACACTTCATTTCAGCTGCTACACTGTATGATATGCCTCGTCGTGAGCACCTCACAATCCGGGACACACAAATTACGTCGTGAACAGTCTCGAGAGTTGCGTCGCATCCCTCAACCTCGGTCACGATATGTTGGCTCTTGAGATGGTGATACAAACTATCGGAAGCCGATTCCAGACAGAGGCGAGGCGAGCATGAGTAAGAAGGGGACGAAAGACGTTCCAGCAAACTGAACCAAGACAAAATGCCTGAACGGAGTGGACATGGACAAGCCCTGAGAGGGCGGAATTATGAGAGCACCGAGGCACCGCCACACCAACGGCCCTTTCCCATTTGGCAAGTCATCTTCGCTGACACTGAAGCGCCGAGGCGCTGATATTTGGATTGACAGGATGACAGGATGACAGGATGACGGCTGCGCGCTGACACCAGCTTGCTGCTAAATGACAATGCCTCCTTTCATCCACCGCAACTCTTCCTTTCCCCAGTGACAATGGCCGACTCGTCTGGCGACCAGGTCGCCTCCTCCTCCTCAGTGCTCAAGCTCGGACAGCTAATCCCCCGCCACGCTCTTTTCCAAGTTCGCATCATCATCCACCAGTTAGCCAGTGTTCCTCTAGTCAGCGGGGAATTTGGCGTTCGGTGGAGATTCAAGAACATCCGAAAACTGAAGGGCCATGAAACTGTAGGGCTGGAGCAGGAAGTCCATGGTGACGAGGAGAGTTTCGGGAGTGGAGACTCAGCGGGACCTTCTACGGAGGACGCCAAATATACTTCAGAATCTTACGAAACTCAAACTAGCACACGAGGACAGACGCCCTGGCTGGCGCTGCGCGACCACTCTGTGACCTGGGAGCAATCGCTGTCGACTGTCGTGCAGATGTCGATCGACCGGGAAAGACACCAGCTGCTCCCTCATCCGTTCAAACTTGCTGTGTTACAACGTGTCATCGTCGGCGACCCGGACGCGCCTAAGAATCCGTGCCTCGGCGTCCTCGAGCTCAATCTTGCGGAGTACTCTGACAGTAATCTTGCATCACCGGGAGAGATGAAGGGGACAGTGACGCGCCGGTATCTTCTCCGGGAGAGCAAAACCAACGCGACGCTTAGATTATCTGTCCATGTCGAGCCCGTAGGCTCTCCACCATTCTTCACCGCGCCGCCTCTACCACGAGGCGAGATCCTTGCCGGCTTATCATCTTTACTATCCACCCAGGATGATGTTTTCAGGACACGTCCAAGAGCTTTGAATCTGTACGCTCCGATCCATCACACCTCTCAAACGATTAGGCCGACGTTCGACATTCGCGCCCTTCCGGACGCCAGAAGTCCACTCTCGACAGCGGCTCTCATCGAAGCCCTTTTCAATCCGGTGCCAGTGCGAGATGAACATCTGGTCACTCCTTTCACGCGATTGGTACCTGAGGGCACCACTCCGTCTTACTCGACGACACTCTCGTTTCTCAGTATCGACCCTACTCAACGGAGTTCAATCTCTCCGAGCCATAGTATACCAAATCCTGTGGCGGATGAAAGTTCGAACAAATGGTGGAAACGGTCTCGGAGTCGCGCACGAAGCAAAAGCCGAACTCGGACGGTCCAAGCGCAGGCTTGATTTCGCTCTATTTCTATTTCTCCTTGCTATCCCGTTCATTCGGACAATTTTATTCACTCGCATATGTACACTACGGATAGACATACACTCACTCCATCTACAACGTAGACTATTAGATATTCTACTGCTTTCCTAGTTCTGACTGCCCTCGCCCATTGAGGAGATCATCTATGTCGTCCCTTGCTTGTCGTCGTTCGTGGAGCATCGAGGAAGCCTCCTAATTCCAGTGCATTGCGGGCCGCTTGATTGATGTGCTTGAAACGATCTGGCCCCAGATGGATGCCGCCGAAGTAGCGGGTCACAACGACCAGGACATTATCGACTTCCAGAATGTGTAAAAGATGTGCCAGTCGCCCGCCAGCAGCTGTTTCTCCATCATCATCGTTGTCTGGAATGAGTTGCCGAATGGTTTCATGGTCGGTTCGATTGACGCATCGTACCTTGGTGCAGCAGGTTTCCGACCTGGCATCGCCACGCGTTGATGACAGGATGTGCAGCTCGTGCAATTCTTCGATCTGACGAGAGGTGGGCCAAGATGGGCGGAACCTTGTACCGCCACTGATGAGCATAATTTCCGGACGATAAATAATAACCATAACAGCACACCTGAGATGGGTCCGAGATGGCGAAAGAACGTCCAACGAACGAGCTTTTCCGATCCACGATTGGCTCTGCGACATACATCTGCATGCCTTGCGGGAGAGGCTGGACGGGTAGAGGAAGAGATGAGTCGTTGGCATGCGGGTCTTCCTGCACAATGTTCGGCCGTTCAGGGTGAGCTTCCGATCGCGACAGTTCTCCGGCTGCTTCAGCGCTGAGGTGTTCGCCGTACCAGGCTTCGCAGCGGTCTAACACATTCTGAAGGCCATCAAAAACACAGACCGTTCCCGGTGACCATTCCACCCCACGCGCCGAAGAGATGAAAGTACGTAGAATCCCTCCGAAAAGAGTAGCGTCCGCCCCGAAAGCTCCCACGTAACGTGATAGAAGTTGTAACTGTGGCGGGCTTTCCGCGGGGTAGGTCGCTGGAAGCTGATGCTGTTCGTCAAAGATTTGTTGGATTCCTTCACAGTTGAACGCACCGAAACCAGGATACGGATGGAGATCTCATCATGCGGCGACGGCAGACTGGACTTGATTACCCATCAGCCTTGGACACAAGGGATTCCATTCACCTCAGTGCGACCTCGTATCGGGTCATACTAGAGTCGGGTTTGGTGGAAGTTGTTGGCTTCCAAAGCTGGACCGCATCGTCTCCGTATATAGACTGGAGTACTGAGTTGCTCCATGGTTGTAGATAGCCTGGTCATAATGAACGTCGCCTACCTTCAATCTCAGAAGCCACAGATTCCCCATCGGCCCGCAGCGAGAGCTCCTCTACAAGTTGTTGCACATTCTCATAGTCTCCGAATCCCATCTAGGAAGATCACAAAGACAACACTGCAGCGCGTGGGAAACCCAGAGTATGAGACGTTGTCTGTCTTGGGACAATGCTGGAAGGATGAGAAGAACGATTAATGATCTGACCCTGTCAAACTTATGGTCCAAGGCCAAAGCATGGTCTGGCATTCATTGCAACACTATGCCGAGCTTGTCACCAGCTGAGGAGTCCACGGAATTGCACGAATATGAATTTGCCGCACGACGCACTACCAACTACGAGGATTTCCGTCAACTTAACGGCTACGAGTGGAGGGCTGAAACCCGACGTAGGTCAAGTGCAAGAATCGATTTGCGCCAGTGAATCGGCAACTGTAGCGCTCCCTTCTCGCACATTGCACGATGGTTCCTCATGTTACTCCGGACCGGGAGTCACTGAGCCAGAATCCAGTAACAGTCTCAATTTAGAAGCGATCTTCGAGTTCTCGGGCGCTGGCAAAGCCATGACAAAGCCATGTTCCTGACATTCGCGCTCGCATGGAGCCCTCGATCCCATGGGCGCTTAACAATTAGAAAGGGAGAGAGAATGGATTGGAATGAACCAAAAGTCCAAATGTGGGCCCGTAAGCCTCTCCAATCTCTGAACAGCACGAATCCGTTCACGACGTGTCGTAAGGAGTCCGGAAGGGACGTTATAGGGTCGTGCTGGTGGTTGTTGGAATCAAGAAAGTGCGTCTCGTATTTGTACCACGCGACCGATACGACACTTGTCCCGCACTACGACGCGCCTCGATCTTGGCTCCGGTGCCCGGCATCCAGGGCCATAGATGTCGGGCAAAGTGCCTCCGCGTGGTCCCAGGGCTCTGTTAGGGCACAACAATCAGCACAATAGCGACCAGCCATTACCCGCTTCTTCGACAAAACGCATCGGCGCTGCTCCTCCGACCGGGCCACGCAGTCTTCTGAATGGCTTCAACGCCGCGAGCAGCGCAAACGGGCTCGGAAAACGGGTCCACGTAAATGGTGTCAACGGACTGGTGAGTTTCCTTGTCTCGTTTTTCATTGTATTTGGACCTGCGAGTGGCATCCAATTACGAGAGTATTGTGCTTTTGTGAGCGGGTCTGGACGCCTCTTGAAACTTGGGCATGTGACGCACAAAGCCGTTGGCCAAGCTGCATGCACCGACTTTGCAGCAGGCTTTTCAGGTCGCCTACAAGATACTATGCACCAGACCATCGAGGATACGCGATTTCTTCGGTCTATTCCTATCAATCGTCCTTTTTATTGATCTTTGGCCACAGAATGGGGTGAACGGCCACATCTATCCGAACGCGCCTCCGGCCGTGCCTCCACCTCCCACAAGTGAGCCTCCACCACCCCCTCCGTCCGCCGCTGCGTTCCCAGGAATTGCCGGTCCCTCCACGCGTCCTGCCATCGCCTTTTCCATAGTCCCAAAGGCTCCGGGAAAACCCCCCACTGGTCCGGCGGTTCCTCCACGCGTTGTGACGTCCAAATCCCATCCACAACATCCCCACAACTCACCTCCTCCGCCTTCATATGACCCGCCCCCTCCACCACCAGATGAAGCTCCGCCGCCACCACCAAACGATATATCTCCGTCCCCGCCTCCGCCAGCTGGTCCACCACCACCGCCTCCACCGCCCTTGGATGCACCTCCAGTGCCGCCGCCCCCGAATCATGTCCCTCCACCATTACCTCCTCCATCCAGCCTTCCCCCTCCTCCGCCCTCAGAACCGCCCCCACCGCCGCCTCCACCCATTCCAGCCTATACGCCCTATACTATCCAATTGAAGAAAGCTGAGGTCAGAGCTCCCATCGTCTCCGCATTCAGCACGGCTCCATTACATCCATCGCTCCCTCCGCGACCATCCTTGTCCTCAACTCATCTGTATGCGCCGTCAACACCGCCGCCACCAGCGCCGCCACCAGCTTCCCCGCCACCGCCGACTGAACTTCCTTCCTCGCCCAAGCCTCCTCCTTTACCATCAACACCTTCTCCACATGCCTCTTCGTCCGTGTTGCCGCCCCCGAATTCCTCGGCAACTTCTCGACCAGCGCCTCCGCCGCTGCCGTCTTGGCCGCCCCCGAGGACAGCGTATCCTGAGGTCCGCTCCTTCCGCGTTCTTTTCGACCCTGGTCTCGAAGGGCTGAAGCAAGGTGGGCATGACGGAACCTACTGGCGTCGCATGATTGAGCATGTGAGGGAAAGGTGCACCCCAGAGCATGCAGCCGAGAGGATCCGCGGCAAGGGCAAGGCGAGGGAGATGTTGTTTCGGTTTGAGGGCGAGGTCGTGGGTCCGATCCGTGAGGAAGGTGTAATGGATGGTGAAGATGTGATGTTCGAGGACGAAGTCGTCGTTTCCGATCCCCGACAAGCGGGACAGTCCCGACCTCGGCCTCCTGCAAGAACAGACTTTGCGCTCGTCTCGTATGAGGTTCGTCCTTGAATCACCTATTCGACAGAGTTTACTGACCTGTTCCTGAAAGCATGATGCCAACAGTGTCTCCCCCCCTCCAACGACTGTGCTCATGACGGGCCTTCCTCCGCTCGCTTCCAACAAAGTTTTGCAAGGACATCTTGCGACTTATGGAAAGGTCGCACACTTCCACCGCCAAATGGATTCGGCAACAGGGGCGACCCTCGGCGTAGTTTCCGTGCGTTTCACAACACCCGAGGAAGCTCGCAAGTGTATCGAGCGTGAGGATGGAGGGCGGGGCGCGATTGCGGGCTATTTGGGTGTCATGCAGGAGGAACGGAGAGCAGTGATGGATCCCGAAGGCCTTATACTGAAAGCCCTGCTGAAAGAGATGGACGGGCGACGGAGACGAGAGCGAGAAGAAAAGAGGAAACGTGAGAAGAAGGAGAAACCCAAAGATCTCCCGGTACCATTGACTACCAAACCACCACCCCTGCCGCCTAAACCTGTCCATCCTTCACTTCCGGTCAATCCGTTGCTTGCAGCCCGCGTTCAGGCTGGGTCTAGTCCACGACCCGCCACGACCCCTATAGCTCAGGAGATGCGCAGGCGCGAAGGAGACTCGTACCGTGGATACGACCGGGGTCGGCCACTGCAGAATCGCCCGCGATACTTACCACCGCGACCAATGAACAGCTACCGTCCGGCCCTGTCGCGTTCTCCGTCCCCAAACGCTGAATATCTTGACGCTGTGGCCCGGGATCGGTCGAAAGGCAAGTCTCGCGCAACTGATCGTGATCGGGAACATGCGGAGGTGCTCACTGAGCTGGCGCGCAACGGCCGGGAGTATCTCAAGATCAAAGCCGACAGCGCGCCAAATGCGATTCGAGACGACGATATCCTGTCCTTCTGCCGGGCGTTCACGGGTTCGATGGACAAGGTGCGTGGATTAACTTTCATTGACTGCACAATCCGCTCACTGGCATAGATGCTCCGAGACCATTTGGGCATCTACGTGACGTTCAAAGACGCCGGCACAGCTCGAAGGGCGGAGCGTGTCCTCGGCGGACACAATATTGGCTTCCATTCCGTGACCTTGTCTGTGCACGCTGCGCCAACAGCCGGCGAGGCCAGCCGAGAGCCTCTGACCACCGCTGAGCTCCTCGATCGGGCACAAGAGCTACTGATGAAAGAGCTCCGAGTGATGCTGGAGCGAGATATCACCGAGCGTCTGGTGGCGGCAGATCTGCGCAGGATTGCTCTCGAACCTCGTGACAAGCCCGTTCCTGTTGTTACCAACACAGAGTGGACTGCGCCGAATCGCGGCCTGAAAAGTCTTTCATTTCGGAAGCAGCGCAAGGAAGCGAATGCTGTGCCAGAGGAGGAGGATGAGGATGAGGTCGTCTTCGCCGAGCGCCCCAAGAAGAGGCGAAAGAAAGAGGTCAAGATTCGCAAGCCGCTTGTCATCGAGGTCGAATCGGAAGATGAGGATGATCGTGAGGATGATCCTATGTCGTTGGTCCGGAAGAGAGACGACCTTGAGGATGATCAAGACGATCAAGACGAGGAGCCAGCACGGAAAAAGGTCAAGCAGATCGACAAGAAACCGATCGTGGAGATCCAAGTGATATCCCCGCCTTCATCTCGTTCCCCTTCGCCTCTTCCGGATATTTACGAGCAGGGCATCTGCGACGACGACGAAGACCTGTACTACGCCAAGCTGGTGCTGGCTGGGAATGACGTTGAACCGACGTTGGACCTCGCGCCGCCTGAAAGCGCTGCACCGTTATTTCGGAAGCATGTCACGGGATCTGCTCGTACTGAAGGGTATTACAAGATCACGCATGCCGAGAAGATTGCGTATGTCACACAGTACCAAGCACGGGCAACGAATGTGGAAGTCGGGTCGCCTGCCGAGGAGCCGCCTGCCGCGCCACAGCATATCGAATCTTCGCGGTCCAATCGTGCGAATGCGCGCCGGCGGGCGCAGGGCCTTGAGGAGATCAACCAGGTCCAGCGGGCCGTGGCGCTGTCCAAGGGCGAGGCGGCGAACGAGCTCTCGTTCAAGTTCAACCAGCTACAGACGCGCAAGAAACATCTGCGGTTCGCGCGTTCGCCCATCCACGACTGGGGCCTGTATGCGATGGAGAAGATCTCGAAGGGCGAGATGGTGATCGAGTATGTGGGCGAGGTCATCCGTGCGCAGGTGGCGGAGAAGCGCGAGAAAACATATGAGCGCCAGGGAATCGGGAGCAGCTACCTGTTTCGCATCGACGAGGACCTGGTCGTCGATGCCACGAAGAAGGGCAATCTCGGCCGTCTTATCAACCACTCGTGTGATCCGAACTGCACCGCCAAAATCATCACCATTAGCGGCGAGAAGAAGATCGTCATCTATGCGAAGCTGGACATCGAGCTCGGGGACGAGATCACTTACGGTGCGTATTGTCACTGTTGGTGTGCCGTGGATACTCACTCTCCGTCTAGACTACCATTTCCCCTTCGAGCAGGACAAAATCCCGTGTCTGTGTGGTTCGGTCAAATGTCGTGGCTTTCTCAACTAGAGCCATCTATTTTTATTGCTGTCTCCACCACCTCAAGGTCGCTTTCGTTGTATATCTAGCAATTGCATTTATTAGCTGCTGTCGTCCTGTCTTCAGCGATGTACCACTTCAGAGGTCGGACTTGTGACAGTAGATGCTTGGGGTGATTTCAGCGAGCGGCTCGTAGCAGTGCATGTCGTCGACTTGCAATTAGTTCCACCACGAGACAGCGATCTTAGGGTTGGGAGAGGAGTAGACAAGTTGATCTGCAGCAAAAGTAAAATCCGCCATGATGGTAAATTCGGACACGTTTCCATGGTCAGGGCACTTTGACAGGCTGCCACTTTTCTACATCGGACCAGCGTTGGAGTCCGGGGGTTCGATGAGGCTGTCACAGGCATTGTGCAATCAGTGGCTGTGCGAGACAGTTTAGCTGACACTTCGAGTCTGCAACTTCGAGTTGCCCCCCGTCCACCGCATCAGGAATGAGTCTCCACTACTGCATCGGGAGCATGAAAGCCACACCACCTCGGTCATCGTACTCACCAGTCTCCCGACACTCGGTGACGGCAGCCATCCTAGTCCCGCATTGTCTCCCCATCCCCCGGCAACTCTCGTCTTGTTCCGCAGTCTGGCGGGTATCATTCAACTCTTTTGTGCTGAAGATTCCATGGCGGATTCAATCAAGATGTGTGGCAACACCTCGAATCTTAGGGACACGCTTGCCCTTACACATTCCCTCTCCCCTTCGATCTTCGAAATACTTCACCCATGTTCGAGACAGCGTCCCTCACTGCCATCCCAGTCTCTAAGTCCTATGTATATGCGAGTGGGACAGGCGTGTGGCATCAACTGCTCGAGTCATTTGGACGACTAATGAAAGCACTTGATCGGGCGAGAGCGCGTTTGACCCCTGAAGCGGCGGCAACTTTCATAAGTAGGTGGTGGGCGAGTCTAATTAGCACCTGGCTTCAAAATCACTTCCCTTCTTTCTGTCTCGCTCGCCCGCTCGCTCTTTCGAGATGCATGTCGCGTCTATCCTCGCGCTTTCGTTCTCGCTCCTCCCGCGACAGGCGTCCGGCGCCTCCATCCATGCAACGCCGCGCCTCCATCCTCGCATCTCGTCCGAAGACGTACAAAATCGCGGGTTTCTCGACGGTCTCTTCCACTCGATCGCATCGGTAGAATCGGCAGCGGAGAAAGCGGTGGGGGATGCCGGAGCCGCCTTTGCGCCAATCCTCGACGTCACGGGCGGGGGGACGACCACGATGCCCATCGTGAACAGGGTCGTCGCCCCGGATGGATTCGCTCGCCCGTGAGTGCATCCTGTGCCTGCCTCGTTTCCACGCCGTTAGCCTCACGGCTCACAGCTCCGTCCTTGCCGGGAGCTCGTTCCCTGGGCCATTGATCACTGCGCGCAAAGTACGATCATGTTTACACTTGGGGGTTGGACCATTCATTATCCTTCACAGGGGCAAAGTTTCAGGATCAATGTGGCCAACCAGCTGAACGATACATCGATGGAAACGGTCACGACTATCGTAAGTTCTGCCTTTTCCCCCTGCGAACACCAACTGATGATGGAGATAGCACTGGCACGGATTCTTCCAGAGCCGGACCCCCTGGGAGGACGGTGTTGCGTTTGTCAGCCGTGAGCGCAGGATCTACTGCATCCAAGCGTGGCGGAACTGATGGGCTGTCTGACAGAATGTCCGATCGTGCCTCGAGCTTCGTTTGTGTACGACTTTTCGACCGCGAAGCAGGCGGGTGAGTCCCATCAAGGGCTTTGTGGATGTTCTCGACCTGACGCCCGTCAGGGACATTCTGGTATCACAGCCATTATTGTCTGTGGTGATTTCCCCCCTCTCAGAGCCAACCGCTGACTGTTGGCCAGCGACACAATACTGCGATGGACTTCGAGGAGCTATGGTCGGTAAATCCGAGGTGATTGAATGCTACATGCCGGCTGTTGATATCTCGCCCAGTATACGATCCTCGTGATCCTCACAAATCTTTATACGGTATGTGACGGTTATGCGTACTCTCAGTTGTTAATCCTATCAGATGTTGACGATGGTGAACCCCCTGCTGGATCGCCTTTTGCTAGCTAACATTGGCCAGCCACCACTGTCATCACGCTCGCGGATTGGTGTGAGTGTCAATTTTCTCTCCTTTGCTCAGGAGACCTGAGTCTTTTCACAGACCACTACCTCTCTACCAATGCTCCTTTCATCCCAAAACCGAGCTCTACGCTTATCAGTGCGCTGGATTTGCTTCCCACGCTTCGCACCTTGATGTGTCTGTTTAGATGGCTTAGGACGCTATCCGGGAGGAGTAAGCCCTTGCTTAAAGGATTTCAAGATTTCTGCTGACCGTCTCAGCCTGCATCTCCTCTATCCGTCATTAATGTCAAGCAAGGAAAGCGCTACCGATTCCGAGTTGTCGCCATGTCTTGCGGTCAGACCGTTCAATCTTCTTGTTGGATACTTGCCTGAACTAGGCGTAGATTCCTCTTTCGACTTTTCAATCGATGGCCATACCATGACCATCATCGAAGTCGACAGTATCAATCACAAACCACTCATCGTCGACCAGATCACTATTTATGCTGGACAGCGATACTCCGTCATCATTACCGCTAACCAACCGGTGGGCAACTACTGGGTGCGGGCCAATCCCGACGTTGGAAACACCGGCCGCGACGGCGGCATCAACTCTGCCATCTTCCGCTATGCAGGTGCTCAAAACACGACCCCTACCACGACTGCGGCTGTGAGAAACCCGATGGTGGAGACTTCGCTGCACCCGCTCGTCGCTTCGCCGGCGCCTGGAAAGCCGTACCCCGGCGGCGCAGATATTACTTTCAACTTGGATATTACGTTTAACGGGCATTTTGCAGTGAATGGGAAAGTGCGTGGTCGGCGATAAGTGGGCGTGCTGCGTTGCTGATCCGATCCAGTCGTTTTCCTCGCCTGGCGTCCCTGTGCTCCTACAGATCCTTAGTGGGCTTGCTCCTGCGCAAAATCTCTTGCCGACGGGCAGTGTCATCTCTCTCCCGCCCAACAAAGTCGTCGAGATCAGTGTTCCCGGTGGAACTGTCGGTGCCCCCGTATGTGATATAGCTCATCTGAAGGCGATTCGTGGTCAGTGATGCTGATCAAACATCTACAGCATCCATTCCATCTTCACGGCCACGCATTCTGGGTCGTTCGAAGTGCGGGTAGCGACCACTACAACTTTGTTGACCCGGTTATCCGTGATGTCGTAAGTACAGGTGCTTCGAAGTCTGATAACACTACATTCCGGTGCGCCATCTCATCTGCCAATCTCAATGCGAAGTGCCGTCCTGACAGCTCTTTTCCCGCATATCTGCAGGTTCGTGACTGACAATGCGGGCCCATGTGAGATCCATGTATCCTCACGTTTGATTCGACTATCTGACGCGGCCGTTGCAGGGATCTTGCATTGCCACATCGACTGGCATCTGGACATCGGGCTTGCTGTGGTCTTCGCGGAAGACATACCGTCGGTAGGAAAAGAACGACCGCCGATTTCCTGGCAGTCTCTGTGTCCTGCCTACAATAAGTTCATCAAATCTTGAACGTCACACGGCACGAGGGGGCCCTTCCTTGGATAGGCTGGAATACGAACTTTCTATTCATTTCAAGTAACGCATTCGCTTCACGGGCTTCTATCTAAATGGATATTGCTGCGCATCTACTTTGAATGGACCTCTGCCGTCCCCGCATGCACGCGACGCGCATCATGTGAGCTACGCAACGCAGAGCACGCGCTAGTGCTGTGCTATAGATGAACGCGCAGAACATCACGCGAAGCACATCACACGATACTGAATTACAGATTTCAAAACGGATTTTTCATTTTGTTTCGAGCGCTATTGATTTTATCTGACCCTACGACACGTCCGGCTCCAGGATGGAAGGGAGCCGAGGGATATCGGCACCTGTTAGGGACACAGGCGCGGCGCGGTGGGCGTGCAACAGAACGACGTCGGCAAAGTGGTGATTTGGTTGCTTGACAGAGACGTCTTCGACGAGGCACTAGCCATCACGGCGAGTCGATTACTCTGGAGGAGTTATAGTCAGTGGGTCTGAGTGATCAGAGTTGAGCGTGTGACGCACTGGAGCGGGCTCGCATCTTTCTGCGCTTGCGGCGGAGTCTGCGGGATCTCTTCTTCTTCCACTTTTCTCTCATCCTGGCCGCCGGGGAGGATCAGCAACCGGGTCAAACGCGATGCGATGGAGACGCACACACACCTTTGTTCGTTAGAGGGAAGAGATGAGGGTGGGGACTTGTTTGGTCCCGTGCGCGCCTCATATAGTATTTGCTCAGCTGTTCCCACGCCAACACCTGCCCAGCACCAAAACGCCGTCACGAGGATGTCAGGCAAGCGCAAACGGGTCCCGCGCGCGCTGCACGCGGAGCTGTCTGAGTACTCCTCTCTCATCCGCACACTGCACACCCATGACACGCTTGATCTTGCGAAACACATCACGCTCCCGGCGCCGCAGCCGACCTCGCGTCGGCGATCACCCCGAACACTGACCTCGTCGCCCCCTCTATCGTTGGACGCTGGTGTTGTCGTTGGCGCCGACAATGATCGCGATGATGACAGCGACTATCGGGACGAGGAGGAAGAGGAGGAGGAACGTAGGCTTCGCGTTCACCAGAAGGACCGGCGGACACCCTCTGAAGGGTCTGTAGGGCCCCCTCGCTCCGATCCTGTCGCTTCGGATGATGGAGACTTCCAGGAGGGGTCTTCGAAAGACACTCTCCCATCCAAGGCCGATACTTGGACCCGATGGCCGCTGCTGATGTCCAGTGTGCACATCCCCGAATGGTCGTTTGAGGAGGAGATCGCCGCCATCGCACGCCGTGTCCTCGAGAACGGCAAATCAGATGCGCCACCCGATGGAGTCGGTGCTGAAGACGATGAAGAGCAGGTAGACGAAGACACCGACGAAGATGGGGAGATTCCGTCGTATATCGCCCATTCCGCATCCGCATTCCTGTCGTCGATCCTCGCGCTCCTTGCGCATCACTCGCCGTCGAGAGGCGAGACGCTGCAGAATCGGCTCCAGCCACTCAGATGGCAGAATGTTCTGGACATTGTGGCCTCCTGTACAGACGTCGATCCGGAGTGCGTGTGCTTTGGACTGCCTCGACTGACGACTGACCATTCGCTTGTAGGGTGATTGACAATGTCAAGGCACGGATGGAGGTTGTCTATGGACCTCACGACAGTCCAGGTACCTCGAATTCGCAACATCTTGAGCCTCTCTCACTATTCCTTTCCCATGCAGCTCTCGCAAGACTAGAAACCCGTGCCAAGTACAAAGCCAGGCTGCGCAGGACTATGGAGCAAGCTGAACACGACCTTCTCGCTCACGATGTGGATGAACCCGACCCGCAAACCTCCTTGGTATCCCATGATCCCACTTGATTAACGGAAATCGATACTTATGCGTCTGAGCGGACAGCTGAATAGTCACGGCCAATCCGAGCACGGTTTTTGGAAAACATAATCATAAGAGACAGAAAGCAGCTGAGAAACGTGACCGGTTGTCTGAGATATCGGCACAAACGAATACAGTCGCGGAATCCTTCGGTCAGAGGTGACAACACCAAAATCGATGAGGAAGCGCATGCAGGTCCTCTCGAATGTGGTCAGGCTACAGTCGCATCGGTCCGCTAGAGGACGCCTTGACCTAATACGTCATCCAGTTGTCCGGTACCTCCGTATGGTGGCAAAACATAGCGATCTCCTGGAGCCATGGCCCGAACCAGACCACATCGTCTGAGAAGGCACGCGAGACTACCAGCATCCCATTATGGTCTGGATGATATCCGCTGGGGCCAGGCGAGACTCCAAATATATCTGACCGCCAGACATATTGCGGGATGCTAGGATCGAAAGCGAACGTTTGTAGTACCTTCAATTGGGGCAACGCAGAGCGTAGAAGGGGCTGAAGAAACCCGGTATCAGCCAAGATCTTCATTCTCGAGGTTCGGCCACGATCCTTCGAGTTCCAACTTGACCAAAGAGCCCGGCTTCCAGGTTGAAAGAGAATCAAGTTCCGGAAAAAGAGCACCAGGGATTTCGAGAGCATGAAGTGTTTGGTGGCAAAACTGGAGGAAGCATCGGAGATTGTGCGCTTCGAGCCGCCGAGGAGGTGCACTATACCGGGTCACATGAGTCGTGTGGGACGGTCCATAGACCAGACTGCGAAGATATATTGTGGGAGGTGTCTCAAATGTGTACTGAGACTGCGATCCCCAACGGGACTCCAGCCTCTTGAGATGGACGATACGCGGTCGCCTCGGATGCAGAGAGTCGTCATCGCATGCATATGCGGCAGGCCCATATTGAGCGTGGATTCCATCGGCACACGCGCCTTCGATCCAGTTGTGATCGTGAACGCTATAACCAGCTCTCTGAAGGGGGAGGTGTAGATCAATGTGGGTGCTTTGACCCATAGAAAGGAGCCGGATATGATTCGACCGTGGATAGAAGAGACGGATGTAGTGTGCCCATTCCTAGTGAGAGGTACATGTGTGTGGGTCTGACACAGTCATTCCGTGGAAAGCCCGCACAGATCTACACCGACGAGGACACACAACCTGCCAGAGAAGCAGTGCAGATAGTTCGCAATCGCCAGTGTACGGATGTGATCTGTTAAATATGATTCTTGCATTGTCTGCCATATCGTGTCGAGGAACTTGCTCGATGAGTGACTGCGACCGATTGCCTTGCTTGTCAAGGCTTCTCCAGACCCTTAATTACGTAAAATGACAAAATTTGATGAACCTGATCCGGCCTCTGATCCGTTCTGATCAATCTTGCCAACACACATCTGCAGGTTAGCTGTGCATGCAAATTCAATGTTTGTGACTGGCTTTGCTCCCACCTTTTTGCGGTATCAAGGCAAATATGTGGTCAATTGTCTTTGTGTGTATGATTATGAGGGCAGAATTATTGCACCGGAGGATTACATGAAAAAGCTCCCCAGTGCTTCTGTTGCGGTCACTTTCACTATGACCCACTACTTGTTCACAAGCCAGAAAGAGGACACATTTGTTGCAGACATTGTCAAGATATGTGTCATTGAGTCTCAGATTGCACTGCTGCCCAGCCTGAAGAAGTGTTGGCCAGTTGTACCTAATATGGATGATAGCCCAAAGAAGAAAAGGACAAGGGCTGCTGGGGCTTAGTTATGACCAATATCTTTGTTGATATCACTGTGATCCTTGTGTCAAATAATTGTTAGGGTTATCTTTTTCATTGTGCCAAGTAGCAAGGCATTCTGTCGGCAGAGCCGACACTTTCTAGTGCTGAACACAGTAAACAGCGAAGTGACCTAGAACTGATGGTTTGATGGCGCATCATTTTCATCACGCCCTTACTTGGTTGCGTCGTCACCGTCGTGCACGATGCCAGCACCGAATCCGAGCCGCAAGTCCGTCGTGAAACCGACGCACGGTCCCAGGCCCAAAACCAAACCACCCTCCTCTGTCGATGATCAGCTGAAGCGCCTCTTCAAAACGCTCGTCGCGCAGATCGATGGGGGACACCACACAAACGCGATCAAGACTTGCGACAAGAGTCCGTTGTGTCCTCGCCATGTCGAGCCCCCATTAATTTGTATTATCAGTTCTCAAGCTGTCTCCCGGCGATGCAGACGCGCTCCAGACGAAACTCTTCTTGCTCTTGACCACTGATCAGGCGGGTGCTGCGCTGACGCTCATCGAATCTTTGCAAGGCGAGAACGGGGACAATTCCCGGTACAACTTGGAGCGCGCGTATGCTCTGTACTGCTCCCACAAGAGGGATGATGCTCGGGAGACGCTGGCAAAGGGTACAGGTGATGTCGATGCGAGGGGGGCACAGCACCTGGAGGCCCAACTCGTCAGTTATCATCTCAACAGCGTCGATGATCTGTGTGGCTCATACTATTGTAGAGTTATCGGGATGGCGCCTATCAACAAGCGTTGGATGTCTATAACGAATTGCTTGACTCTGCTCCTGTGCGTCCTCGCCCTGGTGTGCTGTATCCGATCTCCCACTTTCCTTATACTTCTCTTCAGACAGCTGAGGAGCAGTCCGACATCATGACCAATATCGAGGCTGTCGAAGCTCATCTCACATTCATCAACACCACCTTCCTCCAGACCATCCACTCACTCCCCGCCTCAATCCAACACGGGCTGGAAGACGCCCCGCCACCACTTGCCGCTCCGGTGCACTCAATTGTCCCTGCTGTCGCTGCGGCCAATCCACCTGCGCCGCCCAAAGCCAAGAAAGTGCGGCTGCCGAAGGGCGTTGTGCCTGGCGTCACGCCTCCACCAGACCCGGAGCGGTGGCTGAAGAAGAGTGAGCGCACGAGCTTTGCGCAGCGCAGGAGGAAAGGCGGTGGAGGCGCGACGCAGGGAAGCGCCGCGGATGTGCCAGTCGTCGCCGAGAGCAAAGCTAGCGGAGCGGCCAAGAACAAGGGAAAGAAACGCAAGTAGTGGGTACGAGCTGTGTACAAGCATTTTATCACCGACCAGACGCGCTGCGGGAGACGCGTAAAGTATGCATGCTGAACCGCCCTCACGTTTCTTGCAAGTCGGATCAGTACCGTAAGATATAACATATATCGGTGGACTGCAGGACAAGTACGTCCGATCGAACGAGAGAGTATAGATCAATGCGCCCTTCCGGTGATTTCCGTTGATAGTGCCACGATCAGCCTGTTTTAAAGCTCAAGGGCTGAAGAGCTGGCTCAAGTTAATCGGAGCGAAGTCCCGTGAGGACTTGAGTACTTGCACGTGACTGAGATCATTTGAGATGTACCGGGTACAAATATATTCTCCGGGTTCTTGAATTGCCGAATGACTGAGCAATATCGCTTAAACGCTTGACTCGTGATGACGTACATGGATCCCGGCCCTCGGAGGCCGCAATTACGATTTAAAGTCTGCACAGTTGGGGAGATCGTCATCCACACTTTTTCTCAGACACCACACTATGGCACCCATAACCAACGCACGCGTTCTCTTCAATGAGATCCCCGCCGGTGAGTCTTCTCCTAATTCCGCATCTGCATCAGTGTTGACGTTGAGATTTCGCCACGCAGATTATCCTATCCCGGGAAAGACGACGGTCTACGATACTTCGGAGACGATCGACTTGGAAACTGTGCCGCTCAACGGCGGGATTCTTGTCAAGACTCTCGTTCTGTCGGCGGATCCTTACATGAGGGGGCGTATGCGGGATGCAGCGGTCAAATCTTATGTCGTGAGTCTGATCGATCCGGCCTGGAGTCCTAAAGACACGTCTAAACGCATTTAGCCTGCCTTTCCTCTCGGCCAACCGTTAGTCTCCCTCTCTTTAAGGATGATCCACATCTCATCTGTTGATCAGTCTGACTGGTGGCGGAGTCGGTGTCGTGCTACGCTCTGAAGTCCCCAAGTATCCGCCCGGCTCGTACATCCTGGGCTTCTTTGGTAAGCTTGCACCCACATCTTTTTCGTCTTATGCTCACGCGCAGCCTTTTTACACAAGCCCACAAGCAATACGTCGTCTTCGAAAATGTGAACGAGCAAAGCCTCTCGCCCGTGACGCTCATCAAACGGGATCCAAGATTGCCTCTCTCGACGTACTTGGGGGCTGCTGGCATGCCTGGTGAGCACTCTTCCAATCGCCGCAGAAGGCCGTCTGATTTCGGATCAGCCGAGACCGCCTACTATGCATGGAAAGAGTACGCACACGCTAAGAAGGGTGAAACCGTGTTTGTGACCACCGGCGCCGGCCCGGTTGGCTCGTACGTTGCCGTTTTATCTGCCTCGCTCACATTCTCAATATCTTGACGCAGCATGGTCATCCAGATCGCGAAGCGGGACGGACTCAAGGTCATCGCCTCTGCCGGCTCGGAGGACAAGGTCGCCTTCATGAAATCGATCGGTGCCGACGTCGCTTTCAACTACAAGACTGCAGATACCAGACAAATTTTGGAAAAGGAGGGGCCTATCGACATGTGAGGTTCGGTGCGCACCGGCGACATTCGATCTGATCTTCTCCAGCTTCTGGGACAACGTTGGCGGCGACATCCTGGATGCTGCCATGGAGAACGCCAACTCCTTTGCGAGAATCATTGTGCGTCTCGCTTATCAGGTTCAGCGTTCATCATCTAATGCCAGCCACTTTCCAGGAATGCGGCCAGATCTCCGGCACGTCTCTCAGCGGCCGAACGATTTCATCTCCGAATGTCTGACATTATTTTTTTTAGGATACAACGGCAAATTCGCACCGATGAGCGTCCGTTCCTTTGGTCTTTGCTATGTCGTCAAGTTACTGACAGCTGCCTGGACAGAACCCTGGCCTGATCTTCCAGAAGTGTCTTGCAATCAACGGTTTCCTTGTGAGCAACCTTCGCTCGAAGTGGCAGGCTGCATTCGAGGAGGATGTGATCCCGAAGGTGGCCAGCGGTGAGTACAAATATAAGGAAGACGCCTCGGTTGGGTTGGAGAAGGTCGGGGATGTCATTCTCAGTGTCCAGAAGGGCACGAACACAGGAAAGGCAATCATCATCGTTGCTGAAGAGTAGACATGTAGAGAAAAAAGCGTGTAGATCAATATTGATATTTGTACATTTAGTAATAGGTAACCACGATTTTGAAAAGTCCGTATCCCCTCTTACTATAAGCTCAGTTGGAAGAGCATCAGACTGAAAATTCCGGATGATAGATGATGTCATCTCACAAAGCGACCACGTGATCGCGTACAAACACTCTACAATTTACTCTTTACATGTTCAGTCTTTACATTCTCGTCCTTTGCTGCTTCCACCGCCCAGGATAACATTCCTTCCACTAGCCTGTCCACCTCTGATCGTGTATTCCCAGCATGCAGACACACGCGAACTCGATCCGCGCCTTTGGGCACGGTGGGCCATGTGATCGGCCGTGCGTTCAACCCCAGGGAGGCCAGATGATTGGACAGTGGCCGCGGCCGGCATGTCATCACTGGTATGATCGGCGAGGGCGGTACGGTGGGATCTGAGAGATGGGCTGGTAGTGAAAGAAGGTGCGGGGGGATGTCAGGTAGACGCTGCCGTAACGATTCAACGAAATACGCCGAGAGACTGAGAGCGTGATCTGCCAGCTGAGGGTGGCGTCAATCGGCGATAGGATCGGGTTACGGTTACAAAGGGAACACACTTTATGGGCTGTCCCGTCGTCTAGCAGGTCGAAAGAGGTGTCGGCGGCGATGATGTTCGACGAACTCAGTGACGTCGTGTATATCAGCGACCGGGCATAGTTGAGCAGGTAGTCTCGTATCAGCGGGGAAGTTATGATGACAGCTGTGTATGCAAATGAGGCCAGGGAGAGAGGCGAAAGCAGAAGAACACAGCGCACCACCTGTAGCCGCAAGCGCCTTCCCAAACGTATACAATCGCGCTAGAACCTTATCCTCTAATCCAAGCTCAATGACCCGCCCACGACCTTGAGGTCCGTACAATCCGGTCGAATGCGCTTCGTCCACGATCAGATACGCATTCCCGTGCGGGAAGAGCTCTTCGAGAAGCCCGACGATCTCCGTCAGCGGCGAAAATGTGCCGTCCATGCTGTACAAGCTTTCCACGGCAACGAAGACACTCGCTTGTCCATCTCTGACATCTGGTCGCTCCTCCAAACACTCAGCCAGGACCCCCCTCAGTGCGGACACCGAGTTGTGCGCGAAAGCGTGGCGGGCCGCGCATCTCGACGCGCGCATGCCGTCGTGCACCGATGCGTGGATGTATTCGTCGTACACGACGACATCGCCCGGCTGCGGCAGGCACGAAAACAACCCCACGTTCGCATCGAAGCCGGAGTTGAACAGGAGTGCCGCCGGTGAGCGGAAGAAACGCGCCAGACGCGATTCGAGCGCAGCGTGCGCGGTGCCGTTGACCAGCAGCCGCGAGCCTCCGGAGCCGAGGATCTCCGGGGCTTGCTGTAGTCTCTCCAAAAACCGGCTGCGGAGCACAGGGGAGGTCGATAGAGAGAGGTAGTCGTTGGAGTTGAAGTCTACTGGCCCGACGGCCAAACTCCCCGGCTGTGGTAGTCGCCGTCTGATCAGCCGTTTCTCACGCGATTCGAGCGCCCTCGAAAGCTGGCCTTCGAGCCTCGTTGGGGCTGCGCCTTTGGCCATTGATGTAGCTTTGCGCAAGGTCAGGGATTACATCTAGGAACTCGACGGGCCGACGCACTGCGATAAGATCTCCAGGCTCCAAGTCTTTTTCTCACTGGATGGTGGATCACGGCGTTAGAAGCAAAAAAATGTGAGGCGAAGTTGGGCGCTACGCGCAGTTACACTGAACGGGCGCACGGAGCATGCTACGCTTCAGCACGCAGATGTCAAGTTTTTGCAGGATCGGCGAATCTGACTCGGATTTAGGTGCGGCTGGGGTTTGAAAAAGGACGAGGGGGAGAATATACCGGTCCTTTCAGCGGCTAATTGTTGTGGGGTTTTCCAACAGAATGTGAAAGAACGTTAGAGAGCAAGACATCGTTTTGCATGTGCTCAGAAGCAGCGATCGATTTTCGGACATAAATCCCGACAATTACCCGATGCCAAGTATTCACGTGACTTCATGACTCTCCTTCGCTCAGTTCAACTTGTGGCAAGTGGAGATATGCATTTGGTGTTTTGTCAAAGGACAGACTTCGTGAATTGGAGTCATTTCTCTTACTTAGAAGGATCTTCATGACACAGTCTGCGTCAGATCATGGCAACTTTCCTGACTCGACTCTGCTCGACTCGATCAAAGCTGGGATCATCTCGAAAACGTGCAAGTTGAGACGAGCCTATCACAATGAATAAGCCTGTGACTCGGTCGACGTGTCTATCATGCTGCAAAATGGTGAGTTTGATCTCTCTTGATGCCACGGATGAAGGTCGAAGACCGTCGAAGTGACTGCTTGACGGATCGGGTGGTCCAACACGTCGTTCCCATTGACTAGATGAATTGACTGTCTTTGGAATGACTACAGAATACATCATGTGCTAATGATGACGGTGACTAAACGGCCTAAACAGCTTCCACTGGCTATCATTGATCTCCTGCCGCAGGTTTGACCCGAAGATCTCAGCTGTTGAAAATGGAAAAGTTGATCAAGTAGAACTCTTTCTCAGATAGACGAGCGTTTCGCTTCCCGCCTGTAGCCAATTTCACTAGCGCTTCCTTACTTCGGGTGGAATACAATCACCTTGTTGGACAATCCTATGTACCGATGATAGGCTGGCTACCAGACGCGCTCTGCACCAGCTCTGTAAGGGCGTATTTTTGCGCTTTTTACAGAGTTTACTCTTGAACCATTCGGTGTATCGTGTCGCGGGTGACAGTGTTGCGCTCAGTAGGACTTATGGGTCTACTGCCCAGTCGACGACTGTGGATAGTGTCGACGATAGCAAGGCAGTCAGGCCACTACTGTGGAACTGGTCTTATGAGTCTACGCCAGGCTCAGGGCCATTAGTGACGAACGCTTGGACCGCGACCATTCCCCAGGAAGGGATCTGTCGTTGCGTCGACTTCTCGAAAAGGGTCATTCTCTGCAGATGGGAACTTGGGCTGAAGGGCTGAGCAATGCGCGACGTTCTCAATAATAGAACTACTACTGGACAGGACTTGGCGTTACGAGACTTAAACCATCTTGTCGCGGCAACTCCCGGTTTTGAGTTGGACGTTTCCTCAGATCGAGCCACGACGACGACTTGTCACATGTCAGGATCCATTCGATCACGGGACATTGTGGACGCGTCGCGGTGACACTTCCAAGTGTCACGGCGAGTCGCGCCCATACCCAAACACACTAGAAACCGGCACGGCTAGATCCGTGAACCGAACCATGTGGGGGACGACCGGCGTGCCTAGAGCCATACGGCTTCTTGGGGCGCCCACGTTGGCCTCACATGCCAAGACATACCCGTTGACCAATCCAGCACGTCGTATTCCAAAAGTATGACGCGGTGGGTTGACCCACATCAAAAGTATCATATGGACAATAGGGCGGGGTCCTGATCACTCAGGTCCTGTCCGATCGTTCAACTTTTCAATTACCCTAAAAGGCAACCGATCTTAGATAGCGTAGCTACTATGCAGTTGTACAGGACTTTACTAAGCAGCGTCGTAGACAGTATAAGTAGCACGTCGTCTCTTTGTATTAGGAAGCTTTCCCCCGGACTGTGAATCACTCTCATATCAGATTGTTTTGTACAATTTGCGTGCCGCGTGGTTCCACCCTAAGAAGTTCTGCTACCCCTGCCCGGTCGCGACGAGTTGCTCCCTGAGCACTTGTAGCTACTGTGATTTGAGTTTGAGTTTTGAGACATCAGAAAGTCGGATTCGCCGCATCTGGTTTGGTCGCGGCATTTAGTGTCGTCGCCTTTGGGCTTTGTTGAGATCGTTCCACACCTCTAGCTTGGCAGTGCGTCGACTAGTTGTGCTCGGGTTGTTTTGGTCAGTTGGCAGTGCGTCGACTTGAGAACTTTGGTTCCACACTTCTTGCTTGGCAGTGCGTCGACAAGTTGTGCTCGGGTTTTGGACATTGGATATTGGCTGTTAGTTGGCAGTGCGTCGACGCGGCATTTTGGTTCTACTAGTTGGCAGTGCGTCGACTCAGTACTTTTGGTTGTGTCAGTTGGCAGTGCGTCGACTTGACATTTTGGTTTACTAGTTGGCAGTGCGTCGACTCAGTATATTGGTTGTATCAGTTGGCAGTGCGTCGACTTGATATTTGGGTTTTGCGTCGCCATCTGGACGCTGTCGCTACAAGGGATCTTAATACTTCGTATTAAGCTCTGACTTGTTATATTGTTGTTTGTGGATTGGATTAGTGTTGGTTGTGTTCGTATAGAAGATATTGGTTGAGATACCATTGTTTGCTATATATAAATTCTTGTCGTCGACTTCGTCTCCGCGACTATTGGATCTGCGTCTATTGAGAGTTGTGATACTGGTGCTCTGTCCACCCCGAAGCCCTCGCATCTTTCACACACTGAGAAGCTGATTACGAGGAGTGTGAACGTGTTTTATATTTGGGTTTACTTTCATAGTAGATTCACTTGTGAGCACGCCCTCAGCATTTCATCTGGAGCCCACCGCGAGGGGCTTCTAAAGTTTCATAAACTTTAAAAATCAATAAACCGGGTTCTTTACCGCGACGTCGGATAGAGACCAAGGGTTTATCCCGCGAAGCAGTTTATTTCGATCCCAAGCTCCTGCGCGACCCCTCGAGGACCAAGCGGAGATTGAGACTGAAGGAAACGCTTCAACTTCAGGACCTTTCGAAAAACCACGAAGGTCTGCAAGACATAAAACACCTTTGTATCTACCACCCTTGCCTTCCAAGGCAAAAGGAAAACAAAGAGTGAATTCGACGTCGAAGCTTCCAGCTTTAGACACAGCTACTTCGAGTTCGACGACAATCAGTCGATCTCAGACTAGCTCACAAACCCTCTCAGAATTGTCAAGTAGCGTCACCGCTACAAACACGAATTCTAACAACATCCCTACTTCCCCTGTGACTTCAGTCGCGACAACTATGGCTCCAAAGACTGGGTTCAAAATCCCTCAACCTTGGGACACAAGTAGACCTATACTTGATGAAAAGGATCCCCTGTCGATTGAGGCATATTTGCGTCACTGCGCGCAGATCGTGGAGGATGGTGGCATCACAGATGTCAAACAGGCAAAAAGCATGT